GAAAGTGATTTCGAATACACACCCATGCTATCATACACGATACCAATATTGTTGTAGGAAGCAGCCAAGTCGGGATGATTCGGAGGGAGAACTATTTTTCGGATTTCAAGTGATCGTTCGTACGATGAAAGTGCTTTGGAGTACTCGCCCATATTTTTGTACACAATAGCGATGTTGTTGTAGGAAGTAGCCAAGTCAGGATGATTCGGAGGGAGAGCTATTTTTCGAATTTCAAGTGATCATTCGTACGATGAGAGTGCTTTCGAGTATTCGCCCATGTTTTGATACACATTACCGATGCTGTTGTAGGAAGCAGCCAAGTCGGGATGATTCGGAGGGAGAGCTATTTTTCGGATTTCAAGTGATCGTTCGTACGATGAAAGTGCCTTTGAGTACTCGCCCATGTTATCATATATCAAACCGATGTGGTTGTATGAAGTAGCCAAGCAGGGATGATTCGGAGAGAGAGCTATTTTTCGAATTTCAAGTGATCGTTCGTACGATGAAAGTGCTTTTGAGTAGTCGCCCATTTTACCATACACCATACCGATGTTGTTGTAGGAAGTAGCCAAGACGGGATGATTCGAAGGGAGAGCTATTTTCTTTATTTCAAGTGACCGTTCGTACGATGAAAGTGCTTTCGAGTATTCGCGCATGTTTTGATACACCACACCGATGTTGTTGTAGGAAGGAGCTAAGTCGAGATGATTCTCAGTGAGGGCTATTTTCTTTATTTCAAGTGATCGCTCGTACAATGAAAGTGCTTTCGAGTACTCTCCCATGCTATTATACACGATACGAATGTTGTTGTAGGAAGCAGCCAAGTCGGGATGATTGGGAGGGAGAACTATTTTTCGAATTTCAAGTGATCGTTCGTACGATAAAAGTGCTTTGGAGTACTCGCCCATGTTTGTATACATAATACCGATGTGGTTGTATGAAGTAGCCAAGTCGGGATGATTCGGAGGAAGAGCTGTTTTTCGGATTTCAAGTGATCGTTCATATGATGAAAGTGCCTTTGAATACTCGCCCATGTTATCATATATCAAACCGATGTTGTTGTAGGAAATAGCCAAGTCGGGATGATTCGGAGAGAGAGCTATTTTCCGGATTTCAAGTGATTGTTCGTACGATGAAAGTGATTTCGAGTACTCGCCCATGTCTGTATACACTTTACCAAGCTGCTGATAATAATCCGATCGCTCTTTATCAGTAGATGCCTTTTCGATGAGTGTCTTACAGAGATGTTCTGCTTTTGCGAACTCTCCTAGATGAATAAGTATATCGCCGAATCGAGACCATCCTGTAGTCCATCTGAACTCTTCTCGCAACCGTGCCAGAAGTTTATTAAAATCATCGTCTTGATTACCCTCAAAAATGAGGTTAACTTGTCATAAGCGATCAGTATGTTTGTCTTCAATGCGTTCTATACGATCGATACGAAAAATTGTATGTGTCGAAAAAAG